TTCTCCCTCCCTGATTCTGTCTCCATGTGTCTCTCTTTCTCTCCCCCTGCCCCATCTTACTGTGGCTCCCCCTCCCACCCTCATGATACCATGGGTCACTTCCAGCCCTTCCAGGACACAGTTCACCCCCTTCTCTATCCTGATCTCCCCAGAGCAGGGCCCTGCACATATAGGGGATTGATAAATAAGTCATTTTAAAAATCAATTTGGAGCTCCCAGAAGGATGGAGTGAGGAGCTCAGTAAGGCAGTCAGGCAGACAGAGGAGCCCATAATCTAAGGGGTCCAGGACCCAAGGGGTCAAGGCTCAGGCCTGACCCAGCCTTAGAGATGGGGGGGCAGGGGGACTAGATGTTCCCTTGGGTAGAGAGACTCTTCTCTCCTTTACAAGCTCAGACTAATTAGCTGTTCATATCCCTACGCTGCACCCCTGGGGGGCAGTGCCTGGAATGAATGTGCCCCCTTCTTCTCCTCCTCTGGAGCTGTTAGAATCCTTCAAGCCTAAGCCCATGTGTCCCCCTCCTGGTTATCTGCTTTGATTGAGGGTGGAAGGAGCTGAGTGAGGGAGGGATGAAGGAAAAAAGGGAGGAAGAGAGGGAGGAAGGGAAGGAGGGAGGGAGGAAAGGAGAGGGGGGATGGAAGAAGGGAGGGAGGGAAAAAACCAAGCATTTATTGAGTGTCTACTATGTGCCAGGCACTGTTCCTAGTACTTTACACATTAGCTCATTTGATCCTCAAAATATTGGTGCTATTATTATGTCTGTTTTACAGTTGAGGAAACTGAGGCAGTCAGAGGCTAAGTGATTTGCCTGGGGTCACACAGTCAGAGTTGGAGGCCAGATTGGAACTCAGGTCTTCCTGACTCCAGGCCCAACAACCCATCCACTGAACTGCCTAGCTGACTCTTCACCTCTGTATTCAAAATCCTGCCCCTGGCCTTTAAGTACATGTAGGATTCTAGACAAGTCATGGAACCCCTTGGAGGTTCAGGGTGGGCAGGGACCTTGGAGACGGTCTAGTCTAATCGCGTCTGCTGACAGAGGAGGGAGCTGCAGCCTGGGGATGAAGAGGTCGATTTGCTCAAAATCAAACAGCTAGTAGGTAGTACAGTCAGGATTCGAACCCAGGTCCTTCAGCAGGACATCCTGGGCTCTTTATCCTGATTCTTGTGAGGAATCAATGAGAACCCAGGTGTGAAAGTGCTTTGTAAAGAGCTCCTGAGGATGGCCTGGATTATTGTGAGAAGAAGCCCTTCAAAGGATGGAATCCAGGAGTGACAACTTGCTGGGTTGGGAGTCTGGGGCCTGAGTTCAAATCTTGGCTTTGTCCATGGGCTGGCTGACCTGGCCTCTTTCCTCATCTGTAAAGTTCAGGGGTTAGCCCTAGATGAGCTTTCCACCTGGGATCTGATGATACAGGAATCATGATTCCTGAAAATCTGAAGGTCAGTCAAGGGGCAGTCTTCAAACCTTGGCTGCGGTGCAAAGAGGCCCTAACTCCTAAAGGGGGCTACTGTGAGGAAGAGCTAGGGGAGGCATAGGGTCTAAGAATGAAAAGGCTTTTAGAGCACAGAACAGGAGCTGAGAACAGGGGATGGCAGAGGTGGGAGAGGCTGGACAGACCATCTAATCCAATGTTTTCATTTCACGAAAGGAAAGATGGAGGCTCACAGAGGTCATGTGGATCTGAGGGGGAAACCAAGCCGCAGCCCAGGGCTCTGTGTTGACCACGATTCTCTACCACCTTGATTTTGTGGACTATTTCTGCCAGGCTGAGATAGTTTCTCCCAAGAATAATTTACAGCTCTGCTGTCCTGGTGGTCCCACATCAATTAAATTAAATGAAGTTTAATTTGCCTAATCTTCCCCTTGGGTCCCCATGGCCTGATTTAGAGGCAGGTACACCACCCATCCATGCTTTCTATCTCTGTCTCTCTTTCTCTTTCCCTCTGTCTCCTCCATATTACATAAATACATACATACACTCATATATTCCCCTCCCAATTCTAACTCTGTTATCACTGGCCCCATGACCTGGAACAAGATGAGCCTGAGGTCTCTTCCACTTCTCAGTCATCCAATCCCATGACTCCATGAAGGCAGGAACCATGTTCTATCTAGTTCAGCTAGATGTTCCCTAGCTCCTTGCCTATCAATCTGACCCATCACAGGCAGGTGCCCAGGGCACTGGATTGGGAGCCAGTCAGTCAGTAAGTATTCATGAAGCACCTACTGTGTGCCAGGCACCAGGGGACAAAGAAAGGCAAAAGTCCCTGCCCTTGAGGACACGATGCAGTGGGGGAGATAGCATGCAAACAGATCCTTACAAAACAAGCTCTACACAGAGTAAGTAGGAAATAATTAACAGAGAGAAAGCCCTGAAAGTAGGAGGGGCTGGGGAAGGCTTTCTGTACAAGGGGGGATTGGAGTTGGGACCTAAAGGAAGCCTGGGAGGTCAGTAGTGGGAGCAGAGGATGGCGAGACCTCCAGGCACGGGGGACAGCCAGAGAGAACACCTAGGACAGGGATGGAGGGGCAGGGGCCACTGGATGGAAGAGCCGGTGTTGGAGAGGAAGGTGTGAGAAGACTGGAAAGGCAGGTGGGGGCTGGTTGTGAAGGGCTTCCAATGCCAAGTGGAGAATTTTGTATTTTTTCCTGAGGCAATAGGGAGCCAGTGAAGTTTACTGAGTGGGAAGGGGTGTGACACAGTCAGACCTGTGCTTTAGGACAATCCTTTGGTGGCTGAGGGACAATAGCCTAGAGCAGAGAGAGGCTAGAGGCAGGCAGACCCCCCCCACCCCAGACCTGAGGAGATGAGGGTCTGCCCTAGGGTGGGGGCTGTCTGAGGAGAGAAGGAGCATATCCAAGATATGTCATGAAGTCAGTCTACAGGCCTGGGCCACAGCTTAGATATGGGCTGAGAGATAGTGAGGATTCCAGGCTGACTTCTAGGTTGTGAGTCTGGGGTCTGGGAGGAAAGCGTTGCCTTCTACAGTAACAGGAAAGTTTGGAACAGAGGACAGTGGAGTAAAAACAGAATGTCTGGAAGACCTGTGTTCACAGCTCACCTCAGACACTTTCTAGCTGTGTGATCCTGGGCAAGTCACTTAACCTCTGTCTGCCTCAGTTTCCTTATTGGTGCTTGACCTTGAGGACCTGCGAGGTCCCTTCCAGCTTTGAATCTATGCCCCCATGAGAATTTGAAGTTCAAATGAAAGACAGAGGACAGGTCTGAGTTTTGTTTCTTGTCCCAGGAATGTCAGAGTCTCTCCCTCTAAGGCCTCCAATGGCTCCTAATGACTTACCAGATAAAATGTAAATCTTCCTGGGATAGAATGGAAGCTCTGTGAGGGCAGAGGCCATTGCATGGGCACTGTAGCATCAGTGCCTAGCCCAGTGTCCAGCCCAGAGTAGGCACTTTCCAAACACAGGTCATTGGATGGATCTATACAAACACAGCATGCCTTTTGAAGCCACCCACAATTTGGTTCTGACTAACCACCCAATTTACCAACTCCAGGCTCCCCTCAAACTGGGGCCCTGGCTCTTACTCCAGGCTTCCTGCTACCCTGTCTCACCTCCATGCATTAGGTTTCGGTCACCTTCAGTACCTGGAAAAGCATCCATTCCCCCCCTGCCCCTTTCCATTTCTTCAAAACTCAAGCAGAAGCTGGATGCTGGATGGAGCCTCTGCTGAGGCCCCTGACTGTCTAATCTCCCCTGCATCTCTGCCGTACTGGACTCAGACCTGTCTCTGCCCCGTCAGGCCTGGACTGAGGCAACCCTGTTATTCCATCTGTATGTACTGAGTTCCAAACTCAGCCTGGCAAATCCAGTCCAGCCCCTACACTCAGTACCAGGATCAGCCTAGGGATTAAAAGACAAACCCCAACTGTCCCTACCCACAAGGGCTTCTCCTCTTCCACTTCCTCATCTAGTGTAGGGAGGGGAGGGGGAGGGAGGCAACAGTCTGTTAGAAGGCATTGAATGGAAGATGCATTAGGAAGCAGGCTGGCTGCTCAGCATGCTGCCCACTGGGCCTCTCACTGCCCCCTTTTAATTTCTCAAGAGGGCCCTAGTGAACAGCAGTGAGAGGACCTTCAGTGTCCTGACACCTCCAAAGCTTCCCTGAAAATGTTCCCCCTCCCTCACCCTGCCCTTTTCTTCAATAATGAAAGACTAAGACGTTGGCATGCAGTGGATAGAGTACTGGGCCTGGAGTCAGGAGGACCTGAGTTCACTTCTGGCCTGAGACACAACCTCACTAGCTGGGTGACCCTGGCAAGTCACTTCACCACTGTCTGCCTCAGTTTCCTTGCCTGTAAAATGAGGGTGATAATAGCACCTACCTCCTCGGGTTGCTGTGAGGATCAAATGGGTGTGTCTGTGAAGGGCCTAGCCCCGTCCCTGGCTTTTAAGGCACGTAAATGTTTTTTAAAATGTTGATTGATTGATTGACAAGGGATACAAAGAAAGACAAAAGCCAGCCCCTGCCCTCCAGGAGCTCATAGTCTATCGGGCACCACTATGCAAACTGCCAGGCACAGACCAGCTCTGGACAGGACCTCGAGGAGATAATCACCAGTGGGCAGGCCCTCCCAAGGAAGGGAATGAGGAAAGGCTTCGTGCAGATGGGAAGATTCACCCTGGGCCCTGAAGGAGGCCAGGGGAGCCAGGAGGAGGTGGTGACAAGGGAGGGAGAGGCTCAGAATGCAACATGTGACCTGACCTGTGTGCAGACAGAGTAATGGAATTTAGAACATTTGAGCTGGGAGTGACCTGGGGATGCAGGGCATGGGCTGTTCAACTGGGAGGATCCTCAGAAGGGCCAATGGCAAAGGGGTCTTAGACTTCAAGGTCCCAGCATAGGGCAGTGACGCGTTCTAGGTCTCCCCAATAGACGCAGAGCTAGAACCTGAATGGGAGGGTTCTAAGCTGGTGCATGTCGGAGGACCCGAGTTGCCAGTGGCCTGGCCTCATCCCTTTCTTCCTCCTCCTTGCAGGGAGTCGGGAAGCTGCCTTCACTTATGCAATCACAGCTGCTGGAGTGGCCCACGCGGTCACCGCGGCCTGCAGCCAGGGCAACCTAAGCAACTGCGGCTGTGACAGGGAGAAGCAAGGCTACTACAACCAGGAGGAGGGCTGGAAGTGGGGCGGCTGCTCGGCCGATGTCCGCTACGGCATCGAGTTCTCCAGGCGCTTCGTTGATGCCCGCGAGATCAAGAAGAACGCCAGGCGCCTGATGAACCTGCATAACAACGAGGCCGGAAGAAAGGTGATCCTCATGGGGAGGCCGTGGGGCTGGGGAGGGAGCGGGTCCTGGGGGCCCGGGAGGGGGCCTCCCAGCCCTGACATCCCCTGTTCTCAGGCCCCTCCTAGCTCTGACATTCTCCATTCTGAGGCCCCTCCCAGCCCTGACATCCCCTGTTCTTGGGCCCCTCCCAGCTCTGATATCCCCTGTTCTCAGGCTCCTCCCAGCTCTGACATCCTCTGTTCTAAGCTCCCTCCCAGCTGTAACATCCCCTGTTCTGAGGCCACTCCCATTTCTTAGTTCGCTGACCTCTCAGCTAAAGAGATCATCTCATCTCCCCTTTATGCCACAAGATTAAGTGGGTGAGAGGATGCTCTTACAGCTGTAATGGGGGATGATTTATGGAGGCACAGAAGGTGCACAATCTGAGGGATAGAGAGGACTAGGGAATCAGGAGACCAGAGTTCAGGGCCTGCTTTGCCTCTAACTTGTCGTGTGGCCTGGGACCAGGCAGGGCAGTAAAACTCCAGCTGAGCCACTGACTCACTCCCCTTCCCACCCTGAGCCTCGTAGGGCCTGTGTCCTCTCTAGGATACCCTCAGTTGCCTCTTCTGTAAAATGCTCACCGTTATCCTTGTCCTGCTGTCACTGAGGCGTGAAAGCTAAATACTATCAGTGGGTCCTTAATGCTCCCATGATCCCTGTGGCTGTGACTCTGGCTTGGTGGCCATGGGGGTCTCATGGAGTGCTGTGGGGCAGAGCCGGAGCTCAGATTTCTCAGCAGCAGCAGCAGACCTGACAGTCCAGCCCCTCCCAACAAAGGGCCAGCTCCTTCCCATGGTTTCTCGGTTTTGTGTCTCCTCCTCCTCTCATGGACACTGACACCTAGTAAGGGGCTTCCTCAGCGCCTGCTGGGCTATACCAGCACGGCACGTGCTGAAAACCCTTGTACGGTCCTTTGCCAGCCTTCAGGAGGCCTGGTCCCGCCTTCAATCTGTTTTTCTTTTTAGTTAAATTTGATTGTTTTTTCAATTTACAAGCATTCATTTTCTCCTATCTCCCTCCACCCCAACCGAAATGGGGGTAAAAATATCTGAAGTCAACAAAAACCAATCCTCCTGTTGGCTGCCACCTAAACTGGCCACCTTATTGTGCGCACTGGGTCTAGAGCGCCTTGCAGTGCTCCCAGCTGCCCTGCTGTGTGGCACATGTCATCATGGGGCCTCTGGCAGCTCCTATCTCTCCCAGAGTTATTCACTTTGCAACATTGTTGTGTTACTGCTGACATTGTTACTGTGTATACTGTTCTTATATACATTGTTGCTGTTATTATGCAAATTGCTCTCCTGGCTCTGCTCACCTCTCTGTGCATCAGCTTCTACCAATCCGAGGTTCCCCTGAAACCACACCTGTGGCCATTTCTTGGTGCACAACAATATTCCATCACATTCCTATACAAAATTGGTTTACCCACACCCCACTGACAGACACCCCTTTAGTTACCCGTGCCCTGTTGATGGGCGCCCCTTTAGTTACCCATGCCCTGTTGATGGGCACCCCTTTAGTTACCCATGCCCCATTGATGGGCACCCTTTTAAGAAGAGCTCCTATAAATATGTTTGCACATGTAGGTGCTCATCCTCTTCCCTCTCTCTCAGGTATCAGCTTGGCAGTATTGACTCTTTTCTTCATCCCTCTACCCTCTGGTGCTTTCTGCTCATACCAGGCCCCTGGGGCTTCATTCCCCCACTGGGGGTGCCTCACCCAGGTCAGCCCTCTTCCCTGTGCCCCAGGCTCCACCCTGACTTTCTTCTTTCCATAATACCCATTCTATCAGTCCCATTGGTCTTAGCTGAATTTCAGGAGAGAGAGCCGGTCAGGGTATAGTACCTCAGAGGTGGAAGGGGCCTCCCAAGGCACAGGGTATTTTGTCCAACTGCCTTATTTTACAGATGAGGAAACAGGCCAAGGGATGGAAGATGCTAGGTCATGCAGGTAGTAGGTGGCAGAGGAAGGATGCCAACTGCATCCTGTCCACTTCCCTCAACGAGGTGGCCTGAATACTCTGCAGCTGCCTCTACCTAACTGGAGCCCACCTCTGCAGGCTCAGCTGTCCTCGTCTGATGGATTCTCATCCAACCTTCTGTGTACACCTTCAGGCAGGGCAGCCCAGGAGAGTCATGGATTGGCAGCAGAGGCAGGGAGAGGCTTCAGGAGCTGGGCTTCCCTTGGGGCTGTCCTGCTCTTCTGGAAGGCAGAAGGAACTCTGCTCCCCAGGGTTTGACTTGAGTAGAATGAAGGTTTACTCTCAGCTGCCTTCCCTGAAACACGCAGGATGAGAGGTAGGACGAGTAGGCATGTCTTCTGACTCAAGTCCAAGGTTCTTTTCATTATGGCACCAAGTGTCAATTCCCTCTCCCCAGCCACCTCTTACCAACTCATTAGAATTTACCTTTGACTGAAAAGAAGCTTTTGGCCTGGGAGAGGCTGGGAAGTTGTTAGTGGCCAAGAACAATGGGGTAGAAGTTAGGAAGGGTTCAAACAGACATTGCCTCATTCCCTAAAATCCCAGTGAATTGTCCAGTACCTTCGCCTCTCTGGGTCTCAGTTTTCTCATCTGTAAAATGAGGGGGTTGGATAAGGTCATCTTTAAAGGTCCCTTCCAGGGTGAAATCTCTGATCTGATCATTCTTTAGTTCTTCAGTCAGTTTTCAGTCGTGTCCGCCTCTTCCTGACCCCATTTGGGGTTTTCTTGGCAAAGATACTGGAGTGGTTTGCTGTTTCCTTCTTCAGCTCATTTTACAGATGAGTAAAATGAGGCAAACAGGATGAAATGATTTGTCCAGGGTCACACAGCTAATAAATTTCCAAGACCAGATTTGAATTCAGGTTTTCCTGACTCAAGACCCAGAGCTCTATCAGCACTACCTGGCTGCCCCTCAATCACCCTAGGATCTGACAAAGCAGTCTGAAATCTGCCTTAGGGGTTGAAAAATTCCCTCCAACCCCTGATTAGAGTAACCACAGGAGAAGCTAAGAGGATCCATCCCACTTTCTTGTCAGAAACTTTGGTGCCAGAGGTAGAGGGAATTGAAGAGGCCACAATCCCCTCTGTCCTGAATAGGGAGACCAACAAAGAGTCCCAAAGATGGAAGGAGCTCAGCTCCAACTTGTAACTGGAAAGGAAACCCCTCTCAGATACCCTGCAGCCTTCAGTGACAGGGACTGGACTTCTGGAGGTAGATGAAGATGACAGTCTAGGTGTGGTCTGAGGAGGGCCAAGGGCAGAGGACACCAGGGCCCTCCTTCTGGCCTCTGGCCAGCCCTGTCTCCTCCCCAGAGTTCTCTGTTCCCCTATCCTTACCCCTCTCCACAATCCTGTCCTTGGGGGTTTGGGGCCCCCATGTAAGCATCAATCACTCATTCTTACAGAGAATGTTTCACTTATTGTATTGGTGGCCTCAGGACCTGGCATAATTCTTAGCATAGTAGGTGCTTTAGAAATCCTGGGGAAACCCAGACCTCCTCTAGCATGGGGCACTGTGTTCTATCCTTCATCAATATGTGTCAGGGAATCACTGCTTAGGTTGGCCCATTCCTGAGACCACTGGCCTTCTCTTCCTTGTGAGCCAGGGCATCCAGCAGGGGGAAGCTTCTGGCACCAGAGTCACTACCCCCTTAGCTTCTCTGGGTGCCCCATCTCTCACAAGAAAGCTGGACTGATCAATCATAGTGTGACTCTGAGCTCCTTGAGGGCAGGGGCTGTGCCTCTTTTTGTGACCCCAGCACTTAGCACAGTGCCTGGCACATAGTAGGTGCTTAATAAATGACTCCAAGGCAGGCTCTTTCCCCACTAAGCCGGGCAGTGAATAAATGTTGGTCAAGCTGAATGAAGATGCTTTGGATCATGGGATTCAAGCTGTGAGGGACATTGAATGAGTCCAAGCCCTTCCTTTTACAGATGAGGGAACTGAGGCCAGGGAGGGAGGGGCCAGTTTATGGCCGTGGTATGATTAGAAGGAGCCCGAGGCCAAATGCCCCTAAATGCTTCAGGCTCAAGTGGGTGCCACCTCTCTGGGCCCTTGTCATGAAAGCTATGGAAAAAAGCACTGGACATTCTTGGAGCCTGTGATCACTTCATGGGGAAAGTCTTGCCCAAGCTACTCACCCAAGCGCAGCTGGGCTGGGCTCCTGGTTCGGCCTGGGGCTGGCCAATCACTTTTATCTGCCGGGTTTCCTGCTTGCTGGTAATGTGGATCTAAAGATGGGGAGTGGGGGAGAGGAGAGAGGAGAGAGGAGAGAGGAGAGAGAGAGAGAGAGAGAGAGAGAGAGAGAGAGAGAGAGAGAGAGAGAGAGAGACAGACAGAGAGACAGAGAGAGAGAGACAGAGAGAACGAAAGAGGAGAGAGTGACAGAGAGAAGTAAAGAGAAGGAGAGAGAGAAAGAGAGAGAGAGAGAGAGAGAGAGAGAGAGAGAGAGAGAGAGAGACAGAGAGAGAGAGACAGAGAGAACGAAAGAGGAGAGAGTGACAGAGAGAAGTAAAGAGAAGGAGAGAGAGAAAGAGAGAAAGAGAGAAAGAGAGAGAGAGAGAAAGAGAGAAAGAGAGAGAGAGAGAACAAAAAAGGAGAGAGACAGAGGGAATGAAATAGAAGGAGAGAGAGAGAGAGAGAGAGAGAGAGAGAGAGAGAGAGAGCGAGCATTCATCTCTATTTCATCTCTATGCATGAGACTGATGGGAAGAAAGCAAAGTGGAGAAACTGAGACGGAAGCCGCCCAGAAGGCTGAGTCAATGGCAGCAGACAGGGATCACAGCATGGCCGCCTTCCTGTAGGACAGGGCTCCCCCACCCCATCCTTTTCAGCAGCCTTACCTCCATAGGGTGCTCCCAGGACTTGAAAGCACTCTGGGCCTGTTTGAGGGCTAGCCCCTGGCAGAGATCTGATAGTGTCCCATGTTGCAGATAAGGAAACTGGAGCTTGGTTTTCCAGCACTGAGGATTTGTCCAAACCAGTTCAGACCATGGC